TGAGAGCACTCCCACCTTGTTCTGGGCAGGGGTGGCACTTCCAGCCCAGGGAAGCCCCTGTGGCTCTGGGGACCCTGGACCCTGGACCCTGCTTTTCCCCTGCCTCTCTGGCAGGTAAAAATTTCAGAATGAGACTCTACCACCTCGAATCTGTAGGGTTCCCTTTCCCATCCTCCCTGTGGTTTCCACCTGTAGATCAGCTATCAATTCGGCCTGCACAGACCCTAGTGGAGGGAGACTCCCATCCTGCCAGCTGAAAGGTAGGTTGCTCTCAGGCTCGGCCAGGAACCTTCATCATGGAGACCTGGGCTCCTGTGCTGTCTGCCAAGGCCTGCATGGTCAGCCTTTAGGCAGCTTTGGGGGGTGCCTTTGGGGGGCGGGCAGGAGGTGGGTGTCGCCCAGCTTGTTTCCATAAGAGGTAAGGTAGAAAATCTGCACACTGACACGAAGCGCTGCTGGAGGTGTGATGTGCCCGCCTGCTGCCAGGACTCCGGCCGCAGGTTCCTACACCCTTCTGTCAACAGTGCCTGCATAGGCTGTGCATCTTTTGTTTACTTTTTGTTTGTTTTTTGCAGTTCTGGGAATTGAACCCAGGCCTTCACACTGAACTACACCCCCAGCTTCCTTTTAATTTTTTCATTTTGAGATAAGTTCTCACTTTGGTGCTGAGTTGCCCAGGCCGTGCTTGAACTTGAGAACCTCCTGCCTCAGCCCTGCAGAGTGCTGGCATTACAGATGTGCACCACAATGCCCGATGTGCTTTCTTTTAATCATCTTCCATTGTATTAACTTGAGCATGATTTTAGTAAGCACAACTCCCAATTGAAAATACTCATCCAAAATATGCACTATGCTGTCTTCTCTCTGTCTTTTTCCTAGGTCTGTTTTCTTCATACATTGATGAACCAATCAGGAAGAGGATTATACAATCTTTGTCCATAATACATTGCCCTGTGAATTAGGAAATCAGAAAACCTGTGGATCTCAGGACAAAGGAATCATGTACCATGCTTGCACATGGACTATGATCAAACAGTAGGTTAACAAACTGTAAGCCCCATGTTCTGGCTGATTCCATGAAGGGTGGCAGAGGCCAATTCTAGTCCAGTTGCAGTCCCCTCCTGAGGACCCTGCTTAAGGGTGTCACCCCAGGGAAAGTTTAATTATCATAAGATGTTTAGCGTTACTATAGGTTAGTGCCCACTCTGCTATGTGCTGTAATAGATTCCTAGGCACAATTATTATTTGGTTTGTGTTTATTGATTTAAAACTCTTTCTAGAAATGAATCTCCTGAGACTCTTACCCTTATCCACGGCTCAGCTTACCTGTCCTGCCCTGGGCCTCTGGGAGAGAGATGGCTCTCCCCCGTACCTCCATACCTGTATCTCCTTCTTGCTGCCTTTAGCTGGCACACACACTTAGGGACTGGCCTTGGGGACATGAGTACCCCTCACTACTGACTAGGAGTCAACTGAAAGCAGGGTTTATGTCTGAGCCATCTTTGGGGTTCCCAGTACACCTGGCATAAGGAGATGCTCAGAAACTCATGGAACGAAGCCTCATGGCCCTGAAGCTTGGGGTCTGTGTCATGTTAGGTGGAACCAACTGGTAGGAAAGTGACCAGGAGGGACAGCTGTCATCCTGTGCTCTCCGCATAGACCTGCAGGTTGGGGTTGGGGCCTGTGGTGTATTAATGGACTCTCTTGGCAGAGAGCTCTTTGATTTGGGTTGGTGTGTGGCTGACAGGCAGGGAAGCAGGGCACTGCCCAATGACAGTTGATGTCAGTGCCCAGGGTTGCAACACAGATGCTGTTGACATTTTAATGACGAGAACCCTCTTCTTAACCTCGATGGAGAACAACAAACTATGAGTCTGCTCCCCCAAGATTGTGAGACCCCATATCTGTTGGGGCAGGAACAACTCTCCTTTCTGCTCTTGATTCTCAGTTCTCTTTTCCAAATTCAGAAGTTTGTTTTCACTTAGAAAACAAGGAAAGAAGGAGAAGGAGAGGAGGGGAAACAAACGTGGAAAATTTCATTGTTGACTTTGACCTTTTCTGTTTGCCAGGGAAAGAAAACAGGTTTCTCAAACTCTCTGGCACTTTTAGATTTTAAGTATTTTATTTTTCATCTTCCTGCCAACATAAGTTTCCTCCTGGGGCTGAGTCCATTAATTTATATTAAGAAATAGCCAGAGGTTTACATATTTTAAAGCAAATGTAGGAAATCTCTTTTTTTCCAAATGAAATCCTGCAGTGTTAACTATGGAAATGGTTCACATATCCTCAAATTCCACTGCCAGCCCGAGTACTGTTATTTTCTTAAATTGCCGAAGAACAGAATCCAGACCACCTTTTGTGGACTCGAGACATGCACCCTTTGATCATGGGTCTCTCCCTCCCCAAATCTCTCTGTCCTTTCCCAGCAGATGCACCTGTCCCAGCACCCCTGCTGGGCTGGTCACCCCAGAAAAGCCCCTCATCCCACACGGAGTCTAGCAAGGCAGGACCACTCCTCCACCCATCGCCAAACAGCTCTAGGAGTTAAGACACTGTTCGAAGGCCAGTGGGACACAAGTGGAAGGGGATTGCATTGCAAGAGAGAGGGCAGACAGCATGAGAGGTGGCCTTTGGGCATTCATCCCTCAGCCTGAGGCCTGCTGGCCTCTGTCCCTGGTCAGCATCACATTGCCAGGGTGGGAACCACCTTCCCTGTCCTCACTTGGAGCAGCCCAGCCCCTCGGGGCCTCAGTCTCTACCCCAGAGGGACCTTATCTTAGTGTAGAGTAGCCAGGAGCCAGGGAGGGTCCCCCTTTCCACCCCAGCCCCCTCCCCCCAAGGCGGGCTTTCTTCACACCCTCATCCCTCCTCACCACAGCCTCGCTGCCCATGGCTCATTCCCTATGCGCTGAAACAGGGAGCTGCTCTGCGTCGTGGGAGTCTCCCGATGCCCTGCTCCGTCCCCCAGAACACCAGCCATCCCTTGCACATCGTGTCCACACTGCACCCCTACCCTCCCATTAGGGATGGCCATGGAGCCACCTAGGTCATCAGATCAGTGCTGCACAGTATCCGGTGTGTGTTCATGAGATCCTCATGTGCTCAGCAAAGGCCCCAGAGGCTGAGAGGGGCAAGGCGGGAAACTCAGGGTGCCAGAGAGAAGCTGCCAAGGGTTTCCTTTCAGTGAAAAGACAGATGTTCTCAATCCCAAGTTTCTGTGCTTTTTATGGATTACTTTTCAAGGGGTGTTATACAGGTGTGGTTTTTTTTCTTGTTTTGTTTGGTTTGGTTATTTGAGACAAGGTCTTGCTATGTAGTTCAGGCTGGCCTTGAACTCACAGCAGTCCTCCTGTCTCAGCCTCCTGAGTGCTGGGATTACAGGTGTGCACCACTGCACCTGGCAGGACTTTAAACATTTATGTTTCAAATTGATTTGTAGAAATAAATTTATCAGGGCCAGGGATGTAGCTCAGTGGTGTTGTACCTGCATGGCAAGTGCAAGGTCCTGAGTTCAACTTCTGGTACTAAATAAATAAATAAATTTATCAAAGAAAATATAGTACATATGCACAGTGGTATAGTATTCAGCCATAAAGAATGGAATTCCGTCACTGGCAGCAAGTTGGATAGAACTGGAGGACGCTGTGTCAAGACAGACCCAGAGGCACACCTGAAAAAGTCAACCTGAGTGTGGACTAGCGATTGCTTGGGGCTGTGGTGGGTTGAGGTGCAAGAAGCGGGCTGGGTTTGCTCCATGCACGCTGTAGGCGTGCGAGGAAACAGCAGGCGGAACCCTATCGGTATGTCCGATTAGCCTGCCCTAACCGAGAGAGATGGTACTGACACATCAACGATGACAAGAGGGCAGGGGTGAAAGGAAAGAAGAAGACAGAGAAAAGTTCATACTTGTTCCTGCTGCTTTCAAACCCTGAGCTTGAGAGAGGTGTTCAGGGCTTGGTAGTGGAGGGGCCATGGGGCCTGTAGTCGGGGCCAAGCCAGAGGGGAAATGTCGAAACTTTTCCATTTAAATCAAGTACAGCATCACTGTTTTTTGTTGTTGCTTTGGTGGAGCTGGGGATGGAACCCAGGACACTGCACATGCTGGGCCAGCACTCTACTGCTGAGCCACATCCCCAGCCCAGTTTTTTGAAAGCAGAGATTATTAAAGTCCCCCCTTTTTTCTTTAAAAAAGAGGACTATGTTTACAGGCTTGAATGAGGCTCTAGGACAAAGAAGAAAGCACTTTTTACACTGAAGTGTTTGCAGTTTTTATTTGATACATAAAGTGAAAAAATACGTACATTCAAGAAGGGGTTAAATAAATCCACATATTGTAGAAAACTGTCAATATTTGGATGTATAACCTTAGTCTCCTTTCTAAATATCTTGAGATCCTATGAATGACAGAAATCTTTGCAGATTATGGTTTCAACCAGTGTACCATTTGTTGTATTTTGTCCTTCTGAATTCTCAGAATGAGTATATTTGTATTTAGTTGAGAGATGCAGACAATTATATTATTTATTGGAAAGATAAGTATCATAAAATTACTTTCAAGATAATTTATCTTGCTGCTCTCTTCTTTAGCGAAGGTGGTTTTGTTCTTATTAAGAAACCTAATAACACATTTCTCTCCATTGTACGGGGGTCAAAAGTCAGGGGAACAGAAAATCAGGCAGATGTAGAAGGTGGTGGCAAGTCATGGGCTCTTGTTATCCAGTGTTCTCTGGCATCGCAGGCTCACACACCAGCCCACAGCAGCCAGGAAGCCCTGGCTGGCACCTGATGCAGGACTTCTCCCCTGGCTCCTCCAATGGAGCTTGGAATGACAAGATGAGCTTTGCCTCTTCTCCAAAGTCTCCTTAAACAAAGAGTAAGTAGAAATAGCAGCTTTTGGGCCGGGGATTTAGCTCAGTGGTTCCGCTGCCTGCCTCGAAAATGCAAGGATCCGAGTTTGATCCCCGGTACCAAAAAAAAAAAAAAAAAAAGAAATAGCAGCTTTTATTTGAGACTCCACCAGTGGAATTCAGAATCAGGCTGGGCCTGAATTTAGGATCCTCCTGCCTCAGCCTCCAGAGTGCTGAGATTACAGGTGTGCACCAGATCGCCCAGTAAGCATCCCAGTCTTTAGATCAGAGGGAAGTATCTAGATGGATATTCTCACACCAGGCAGGAGTGAGTTTCCACTGGAGGCTCTCCCTTGTTGGCAGCAGAGCACAACTCTGGCTGATTGAAGCAGAAAAGGAATTTGTTAAAGGGCCATTGTGTAGTTCATGGATGGAGGCATGTGGGGTGAGACCAGACTCACCGGCCACCTGGGCAGGAAGAAGACCAGGGCCAAGGGCTGTCAGGACTGGCCCAGAACAACTCCACACCCACGTGGCTGCACCTATGCGCACGACAGGACCATGCATGCCTCCTGCCCCTGAGATCCGCCCACTGCTGCTTCTGGAAGAGGTGTGGCATGACGTACACAGGAAGGACAGAGCCACCAGCTTTCCCGGGGCCAGCAGGCTGCTTGGCTTGTGTTTGCTCGGTCGACTGTCTGGAGCTGGATCTGGATACTTCTCAAAGGGGAGGAAGGACTGCAGATGCTGGGTGAGAAGAGCCAAATGACAGATGTCCATCAGGGTAGGAGAAGCTGTGACAGGCTGAGGCCCAGGAGCCAGGTCAGCACGGGGAGGAGTCTGTCAGAATGCAGCAGCTGGGGCAGGGGTGCCTGGGTTTTGTGGCCAGGGAATACAGGTTGGTCAAAGCAAGGGGCAGCCAAGTGTCATGATGACATCGCACTATTCGGTGTCACGAAGTACAGGGAATCCTGTGTAATACTGAGGAATATTCGTTGAGTGTGGAAGATGAACCAAGCTGAAATATCCGAGATAGCTGTATTAGTTCTCTCGAGCTGCTGTAAAAAATCACCATGGACCAGGAGGCTTAATTGACAGAAGTAGATCCCCGCCCAGTCCTGGGGGGCACTCGTGTGAAATGAGGGTGTTGGCAGGTTGTGCCCCAGGAGGCTGTGGGGATGAACCCAGGCAGGTCCTTCTCCCCATTCTGATGTCACCCACCATCCTGAGAGATTGTCATCGTTCTAGCATCTGCCTCCATCTCCACACTGCCTGTTGCTGGGCTGTGTCTTCATAGGGTGTCTCTCTCTGGAAAGTAAGTTACCTGCCTCCCAAACATGGACAGTGCAGGTATGGGTTGACATCCTGTCCAAAGAGAGATAGGATGAAGGGTCACAGTCCTAGGAAAGACACAGGCCTAAAAATGACTCTGGCCAGATGCTCTGTCCCCTCCCCTCCAGACTGGTGGCTGTTGCTGCACCTCCTCTGCCTTTGCCCTGTGCCCATTGTCCTCTGAGTCCTGCTTCCCCTGACTTGACGGAGGACGTGCGTCTACAGCCACGTAGCTTCCTGTCTGCACAGATTCCACAATGCTCAGAGCATTGACCCGGAGCAGAACAGCCAGCTTCTGCTGCCTGTGAGGACAGCAGCTCGTGGCTCTTGCTTGCATTCCTTGCCCTTGAGTTCGGTGTGTGCCTCTCCAGGATGGACACAAGCAGAGTGGCCAGCGGCAGCTGTGTGTGTCTGCTGCAGGAAAGCTGAGATGTTGATCTACTCCTGAAAGGGCCCCCAGCATTGGATTGGGCTGCTTTCCTTACCTTTTCAGCCAGCACGCGGTTCTCCAGGCCGAAGAGCTCCCTTCTTGTCCTTCCTGCTGTCTGTTGTCTGGAGTGCTGTCAAAGCCAAAAGTGTGCTGATCTGAATATGATGTTCCTGACCCCTGCAGTCTGGTTGGGACCTGCTTTTCTATAGATTTTAGTTTGTTTTTCTTTTTTTTTTTTTGGTACCAGGGATCGAACTTGGGACCTTGTGCTTACGAGGCAGGCAGCGGAACCACTGAGCTAAATCCGGGGCCCTCTATAGATCCTAGTACAAAGAGATCTGCAGCAGGGTGCATGTTGAGGGAGCAGCCAAACTTTCTGCACTGATGCAGTGTGATAACAAGTGGGACCATGACCCAGGCCTGCTCAGGTGGGCAAAGCACAGGCTCCCCACCAGGAAAAGGGAGAGATGTTAACGCTGGCTCTTATCATCACATCTGGGAAAAGAGGTCCAGGAAAACAAGGCTTCATCACATGGACCTTTGAGCTTTACAGTCAGGCTTCCTGAATGCTGCAGATGCCCTGGGAAAAATGGCAGACTTTCAGTTTGGGTCCTGGTGCAGAGGACACATGTCCTTTACTATTTTTCTAGGCAGATATGTCCTTTGAGGTTTCGGATGGAGTGGGAGGTGCAAATGCAGTGTGGCATGTTGCTTATGGTAAAGCTAAGTTGGGTTTCCTCCTGGACAGCCGTCCAGGACCCAATCTGCCTCATCCCTGGCAGAGCCCTCCTTGTGACGATGCTGGACCTCCTCCCGATTGTGGCTCCTGCTGGCAGAGTTGGAAAAGCAGATGGGGCTCTGACTGCTCAGGAGGAGCCATGGACGAGGGGTTCGGGCGGCTTACAGCCTGGCTCCACAGGGAGCACATCCCGACGCTGCCTGCCACCTGGGTAGTGTGTGCCTGGTAAACATTTGGCTGTCCCAGGATGACAATGAAGCAGATGCTGACCCTCCACACTGTGTGACACAAGCCACTTCCCATAGGTGGGTGCACATGAGACTCGGTGGCCCTGGTGGCTTCCTTGCTGGCTCTCAAGAACCAGGTGTCTGGTTGACTTCTAAAAAGCAGGGGCTGGGTCAGATGGTGGGGGGAAGACAGGGGACCCAGGAGCTGGCTGGGGACACAGGCCAGCAGATGACTCCATTTATGCAAAAGTACACGAGCGCCACTCCCTTGAGACCAGAGCCAGGCAGTGTGTGAGGAAGACACTCTGGCAGCCAGCCTGCACCCTAACTGGAGCCACAGCTGCACGGTGACAACTAAGCCAAGGTAGCCTGGAAGTTGTGAGTCCTTGGCCCAAACCTGGCATTCACATGAGCTCTGGGCTCCTCAACCTTTTGTGACATAGGTGGCACAGGAGCAGATGTCACCCCAGAGGGCATTTCCGATCTTGGAAGGACCTGTGTCACTGGGGACTCCTCAGACAGCAGCAGAACCCTGTCCCACCATCTACACTGTCCCGTCTACCCTGTTGTCCCTCTGCCTGCATCGAAGAAGTGGTTCAGCGGGGATCTGGACAGTCAGCCCTTTGGACATCTTCCTTGTAGAAATTCTGCATCTCCACTACACATACCACACACATCTCTACCCTCCCTCCATGTATCAGTGTGTACATGTATTTATACAAACATGTAGGTGACCCCGGTCCCAAGCCCCACAACTGGAGTTGCCACCTGTAGCCGGCTTGACAATGATGATGATAACAGGGGACGGATGGACACATGGAACGGATGTAGCTCTAGCAGACAGAGGAGCCCAGAACCTCCGGCTCACCTCGCTTTTATTCACCCAAACATGGGCACAAGTAATCAAGGTAACACACGATTCATCTGGTTTCCAATATCATTAGTATATTCTCTGGTAAACAGCTTAACCTCTGCTGTCTTAACTTTTTCCCTAATATGCAATCACCCCTGACTGCAGCCTTTCCCCTTTGTGCTCACATTGGAGGTGAATTAGGCCTCAAATCTCCTCTGGTCTCCCTCTCTCCCTCTCTCTCTCTCTCTCTCTCTCCCTCCCTCCCTCCCTCCCTCTCTCCCTCTCTCCCTCTCTCCCTCTCTCCCTCCTGTCTAGAAGAATCTGTTACCCGGCATCAGACTCAGGACCTTGCACTCGCCAGGCAGGTGCCAGTACCACTGAGCTAAATCTGCAACCAACTATTTTAATTCCTTTAAATCCCTTTGCATTATTTATCAGGAACAAATAATTATGGTCTAAACAAAGTTTAGGCTGAAATGTTTATGTGAATGAGATGGACATTTTTCAGCCTGAGTTATCCAAGTTTTACATTCAACTGGACGCACCTAGGCAGGGCCAGTCTAACCTAACCCGTGACCAGGAAGAACCCAAGAACCACTTACTCCAAAACACTTCCTCCTGAGGTACCTGTGGAGGCCTAGCCATCACACTGCGAGGGGTGGCCAGGGTTACGGGAGCTCTGATAGGGAGCAGAACCATGCAAAATCCCACCACAGATGTGCAAAGCTCCTGCCACACACAGCTCACTGGTGAGGCCTCGGGGACCCTGGCAACACAGGCTGTGTGTGGATCCCCTGAACAGGGACAGAGGTGGGGGTGGAGCTGAAGGGATGGGTCTTGATCCCGAGGGAGGCCCTGTTTGTTGGGCAGGTACAGCAAGGCTTGGGGGACAGCCTGAGAGTTGCATGGTGGCTCCAAGTCCTTGGACAAAGAGGACGTGCTGTGAGGGCAGCTTCAGCAAGAGGCCATGAGGGCCATGCAGGACATGCTCCCGGCACCAGCTGGTGTAGGGATGGGCAGTACCACAGCTGCCAGCAAAGCCCCAGGTCAGGCCCGCTGGGCCCCGCAGAGTGGAGTGGCTGCCGCTCTGGGGGAATCATGGCGGCGAGCTTCTGGGGAGGGTCTTGGGGCTGGACTGGAGGATCCCGCTGCCCTGTGACTATCCCATAGCTCAGCCTGCTCTCTGCAGTCCACCCTAGCGCTGCGGCCAGACGATCCTGTGCCTCTGCCTTTTGGCAGCTACTCCTAGGTCGCCTTCCATGGTGCCATCTTGCCTCATACTGGGGGACCTCTGGCACAGGCCACAGTATTTCCCTCTTGCAGACCTGCTCTTCGCTTTCCTCTGATAGGCTTGCACCCTCTTTCTACAGCGTCTTGGCAAAGATGCTCAGGATCAGGGGGCTTACCTGCCTGTCTTCTCTGCCAGAGTGCAGGACTGAGTTCTCCACTGCCCCTGCCAAGGAAAACACACAAGACTCCATATTAGCCATTTTAGATTGTGCTCAGATGACTCCCAGAGCCCTGTCTTTTTGCCAAAGGACATTTCCTGGTACCCTGACCTTGCCAGCTGGCTCAAATTACTTCAGTTGGCTGTGTTCTTATATTTTTCTGGGTCTACATCTTGAGGTGGGTGGTTTGAAGTGCCAGGTGAATGATGGTAGTTTGAGGCAAATGTTTTTAAAATGCCTTAGATTTTCTTTTTACATAGAAAGTCCTGACCTTGAGGAAATTGGAGATTTTTCCATCATTTAGGGCAATACAGAACAATTAATTTTTAATGGTCCTGGGGCTTTGTATCTTTGTTTTTTCACTTTGATTCTTTTACGTTTAATAGCAGGAAAGGTATTGTCTGAGAACATATGGAACACATTGACTCAGGGTCAGGGACAGTTTGAAACAATGGGTAAAAGTGAAGGCAAGCTCCCGGCAGTGTCAGAAGCCAGAATGACACTTTTTTGTTCGTTTGTTTTGTTTTAAATATAGTTTTATTCAAACACAGCCACATCACAGAATGACACATTTTTGCCTCTGGACATATTTTTTTGGGTTTTTGGTATTGGGGTGGCACCCAGGGCCTGGTGCAAGGCAAGGGCTCTACTACTGAGTTTACCTCCAGCCCCTGGACAGGACTCAGTCCTCTCAGAAATCCCTGGCTTCCGGTTGTCTGTGGTAGGTGGTGGTAATGCAAGTTTCTTTCTACCTCACCTCAGAGTAATCCTGCTTGCCATGTGGGTTCTTGAGTCCTGGTCTCCACTGTTCCTGTTTCTCCATTTCCCACTCAAACAGGAGGTGGATTAGAGGGCACCAGGATCATGAATGAGAGTTACTGTCCTGTCTCCCTGCAGAGCCATGAGCCTTGTGACCTCAGAAGCTAGAAACAGAGTTCTCTGTCCGAAGCACTGAGCTCAGTAACCTTCTTGGGACACAGCGAGGCACTGTCCAAGAGCAGCCTGGCCTTTGTCTGAGGATTTTGGCTTCCAAACCTTTGCATGTGCTGCTCTTTGCCTGAACCCCCCCGGGGAGAACTTGGTCTTGCCAGTCCACTTGATAACTTTTCCTCTGCAGAACCAGTGTCTGCATGCAGGCCACCAAAACAAACACCCCAGCTTGGGGCCCGGAGTAACAGGAGTTTATTCTGCAGGCGTTGGGTGCATCTCCCTTCCTCGCTCAAAGACAGCCACCTGCGTAGTGGGTCCTCACCTGCTGGAGAGGGGCAGAAGGACCTCTTTGTCTCCCCTTGTAAGGACACTGATCCCAAAGGGAGAGCCCCACGCCAGGACCTCTGGCTGTGGTTACCTCCCAGAGGCCCGTCTCTAAGTTCCCTCACCTTGGGAAATTAACACATGAATTTTGGCAGGACTAGCAAACCTTCAGCCCATAGAACCATTAGCATGGGCAGGAGCTGTGTGTTGAATGTGGTCCCTGAGCCATGTGCGGCATTGGGGTACTCAAAATGTGGCCAATCCACGGGGAGATAAGCTGTAGATTGTAAAATGCACACTGAGTTTCAAAGGTATGAAAAAATATCCTATAAGTAATTAAAATTTTTGATTACACGCAGTAATAATAATACTTTATATACTTGGTAAAATAAGATAATGCTAAAATAAATTTCATCCATTTCTTCTGACCGTTTTTTTATTAGACAAGGCCTTGCTATGTAGCCCAAGCTGGCCTTGAACTCTCAGTCCTCCTGCTTCAGCATCCCTAGTAGCTGGGATTACAGGCATGAGCCACCACGCCTGGTCTCTTTTGACTTTAAAAAAATATGTTGATGAGATAATTTGAATTCACTCATGTGGTTGTTGATGTATTTATTTTATGTTTGATGTTTACGACAGAATTTAAAAATTTTACATGATATTTTGATATATGTACCTATTTAGCTGAGTGGTTGCTACAGTTGAGCAGGTTAACATATCCATCACCTTTTTGTGTGTGTGTGCGTGTACATAAAGTTTTTGTTTGTTCAGTTCTTTTATTGGTCCATTGTACGTATACAACACAATTACATTTCTCATTGGGAATTGGACCTTTACATAATGCATCTTGGTTCTTATTTTTTCCCCATTCCTAGCCCTCCCTTCACGCCCTCCACCCTTCCCTATTTACAAAGACTTTACTTCCATTTTTTCCATTTCTCAGCATTTTTCCTTTCCCTTCTTTCCTTTCCCCTGCCCCTCCCACTACCCCTACCCCTTGGGACCTTTTCTTCCTATTTTGCATTATCGATTATTCATTCTAATCATTGGTACATTTTAGGTATACAATATAATGACATTCATCATTGGAAATTTGCACCTTTACATAGTCTCTCTTGGTTCTTATTGCGTGTACATAAGTTTTAAGACTCCCTAAGAAGTATACTCCTGGCACATTTCCAGTATAAAGCATCTCCCTCTTGCTTAATAATATTCTGGTTAAAGATGAACGGCATATATGAGAGCAGTCCCATAAGATTATGTTGCCCAGCACTAGCAGGGCTGTCCTAGCTGGTTTACATAAGCTCTATCGTGTTTGCACAGTGACGAATCAGATAGCAACTCGTTTCTCAGACTGTGCCCCACGGTTAGTGACACAGGACTGTGTTATTCGCTGTCTGCTCTTTGGGGGTCTGGACATATCTGTGTGCTGCAGCTGCTGCTGTCTTCCCTCTGTGCTGCCCTCTGCGCCTGCGTGCTCTGCTGCATTTCCCAGGACGGTGCTGGGTCAGCACCAGAGCCCAGTGCAGGGGTGAAGGAGCCCAGCCCTGAGAGGAGCTGGGCATCCACTGGTGACAGGCTTAGGTGGAGCAGAGGTGGGGACAGATCATGGGGACAGGGCCAGCAGGAGTCCTGGGGAAGAGCTGCTGCCGCAGGCACAGAGCTAATGGCTGCGAGGGGTCAGGACGACGCAAGTTCTTTCAAAATTAGGTTTGCCTTCTGAATTCCATGTCTGTGAAAGCAACTGTGTTCACAGTGTGGCCCCTGGGGACCCTGCCTTTCATTGGTGTGTACATGGTCACCCTCAACATGGGCTCTGTGGGTCATTCAGCCCAGATCTTGAGGACAGCTCCAGACTCATGACACTAAAGATGTCCCCGAGATGGGCAAACACGGGCAGTGGTCGGGTGCACTGATTGCATCAAAGAACCCAAGGAGAGGAAGTCAGACTGGATGTGACCTTGCTGGGTCTCACAGGAGCCTGGCGTGTCCGACTCTCATCCAGCCACTTCTGAACGGTGTCCGGTTGGGGTGCAGAAAATCAGGCCAATCACATTTGTTGTCCTTTGGTGAGTGCGAAACCTGAGCAGGTTCAAACTCACTGACCTTAGAACAACCCTGAGGGGAAGAGATTGTTACCCTTGTGTTCCATAGGAGGAAACTGAGGCTTAGCCGGGTTCAGTCACTGCTCAGGCTGCTGGGCTGCTGGTGGGGAGGCAGGAGTCTCTTCCCTCTGTCTGACCACACCCTCCCCTCCTTTTTTCAGAACTGTTGCACGGTGGCCAAAATATTGCAACATTGTTGAGATTTGATAGTGAGAAATAAATAAGACAGCACAGCACCTGGTAGAGGAGCCCAGGGTTCCTGAGCCCAGGTGCTCTGGGAAGATCGGAGAAGAAGGGGGCCAGGCTGGGCTCTGGGTCGTTGACAAGACCCAAGTCAGGTACCAGGTCTGCTCCTGTGGTGGAGATACAGGACAGATGGCAGCTGGGAAGCCCAGGAGAGGCGGCAAGGTGGAAGGCAGCATGCTTTCTGTAAGCAGCAGATCAGCAAGGGCTTCGGAATGAGAAGAGCTCGGACAGATCCTCAGGTAGGTGTCCAGGTCAAGGCACAAAGAACTCAAACACTGGCTCCTTAACCTAGGCCTTCCCACTGTGGAAGAGGAACTGATCCAGAGGCAGAAGGTACATCTTAGGTGCATGGTGGTAAGGACGGGGACTGGCTTCCCCCCCACCCTGGCTCACACGGGGGCCACTTAACTCACAAGATCGTCCAGTCTGTGCCGTGAAAATGAGATGACCCTTAAACTTAGTTCCTCAGCCATGCTGGCCACATTCCAAGCGCTGACCAGTGACATGTGACCAGCAGCTGTCACCCTAGTCATCGTGGGTCCAGAACATTCCCTGTGTCACACAGAGTCCCTGCTGCAGCTGCTTCTCCCTGGTGGCCTTCAGAGGAGCTTTATTTTCCAGGGCACAGGCTGTGCCCTGGACCAGGACTCCTGCCCGCCCTTCTCCCTCCTCGTCCAGCCTTGGTTCCTGAGAAGCCTGTGCCACTTGGGCCGTTTCCTGCTCAGCCTCAGCTCCTTCCCTGTGCTCATGACTGCAGTTGGTGCTGTTGCCATGGTCCCCTCTGTGTCCTGCCCAAGGCTGCTGTCCAAACAGCTGAGGCGTGAGCTATAGGAGGAACCCAAACTGGGCTGACAAGGCGGCACCTCTGTGGCTCAGAAGGTCCTGCCTCTTGGCCCAGGGCCAGCTTCGGAAGCCAGGGAAGGTGCACAGAAGCCCAGCAGCCAGGCCATCAGTGGTAGCCTTGTCAGGAATTTTCAGATTTGCCCTGTGGCGGCTCCACCGTCTTGGGAACCACCTGTAGCACTGGCACCTGTGTTCCTTGAGTAGTCATTTCAGTCGAGGCAAAATTTCAAGCATTTCCAGTATTATTTTGGGGAAACATATCGCCCTGCTCGTGTAGCTGTGTCAAGTCATTCATTTGCCTTATTCTTTTTCCTCAGCAGGTGGCATTTTTGTTCAATGATTTTATTCGTAGCTGCCTGCGCTCATCAACTGTGACATATTAATCATGCAAATTAGGATATTATTAATGAAGGAAAAATTAATCCTGCCACTGTGTCTGGTCTGTGGTGACAGCTTTGTTAATACCCTCTCACTGCGTAATACAGTCAGCAGCTTCTCCCGGCCACTGCAAGTGGGCACATTAACATCCAGGGAAAAGGTCATGGATCGAAGCTTAGGAGCAACAGGGCCAGTATCACAAGCTCACACTCATTGGCGCATGTGTTTTCAGGACAGACTTGTGCAATCCTGACCTCCTTCCCACTGAGTAAACTGTTGGTAGTGCAAGGGGACTGGCACCACTTCAAGACTTCTCCAGGGAATCTCACTGAATACAGTGCCAGCCCCCAGTTCCCAGCAGGGAGCAGCACGCCTGGGTCCCCTCACAACATCCGTGTCCCAGCCGCTGGGTTCCCAAGTTTGCAGACAATGTGAAGCAGCCTTCCTTGGCCAGTGCACCTTCTCCTCTGGCCTCTCTTCTGGGATGGGAGCTGGCTGGCCTCAAGGTTTGTCTTTATGGCTCTGGAGACAGGCGGGAACTATAATGTAGCCCACGCCCACTTCCCACGCTGTCCTCTCTGGATGCTGGCTCTCCCTGCACCCTACCTGGAGCAGTGATCAGCTTCCAGTCTGTGCCAAGACCCGAGACACGCTGCTTTGGGGCCTTAGGTGAATCACCCTATGTGGAGGGCAGGGCCCCCTGGAAAGATTGCCAAGTCGCCCCACCTTGGCCACGGAACCTGGCTGGACCAAAAGGAGACGGCTGGAGGCACACGGGGGACCGACAGGACCTGTGGAGGACAGTGTTCGCCTCGGCCGCCGTGGACCTGAGTGGGAGGTCGGCGCCTGGGGCTCTCTGAGCCTGCTCGAGCCTTGCTCCTCTCCATGCCTTGGGGCCACAGAAGGAGGGGAGTTTCTAAGTGACCTGCTGTCTGGAGACCTGGCCCTTCTTCCCATCGCCGTCATTACTGCCATTGCTGTCCTCCTGTCCCCAAGATGCCCCAGGCCTCGGTCCTTCTCCATGACCTCGCACAGATGGAGACTCTCGTGATTCTTCTCTCCCGGGGTTGACCCCACCCGCCTCCCTTCCAAGCCCCTCCCCTGGGCTGCTCCCTTCTGAGCCCAGTGGCAGGTGGGGGTGAGACCTGCCCAAGCCTGAGAGGGAGGGGACAGTTGGGGAAGTAGAGAAGGGACTGCAAAATGCCACGCCCCAGGCAGCTCAGATGGCTCCTCCTGCTGCAGAAACCATGTGGGTCTGGGCGCTCTGGTCACCTACACCCCAGAGCACTTCTGATGGGTGAGGTGGGGACCAGAGTTGGGGAATCTTGCAGCTGGCCTCTCACAGGAGGGTTTGGAGACACCCAAGAGATTCTGACAGACTCCCGAGTTGCCGATTGATTATTTTTTGGGGACAGGGCTTTGCTATGTAACCCAGGTTGACCTTGAACTCTCAGCAATCTTTCTGCCTCAGCCTCCTGAGTGCTGGGATTACAGATAAACCCCACCATGCCCACTGCTGCTCTACTTAAAGAAGTCACAGCATGGCAACTTTACCTGTTTGCACCTGGGGGAAACTTTGTACTAGTGAGGACTCTTCTTCAGCTGAGGCTCAGGGCCAAGACTTTCTGAGCTCCTGGTTGGATTTGCTTGGGGCTGCTCCCAGGGGCCATGGGCCCGCATCTCCCTCTTATATGACACGGGGTGATATGGAGTCATGGGTGCTCCTGACAGCTGGGCAGCCATCAGGGACTGGACCTTCCCAGGCTCCTGCCTCTATCCCCTGGTGGCCCTCGGTCCCCTCCACCTGGCTGCTGCATGAGCCACACGAACACAGCTAGAAACCGGAGGGCTTGTGCTTCTACCCTGTTGTGGGTCAATGTGATCCTGACTTCCTGGCCAGAGGGGGCGATCCACGGTGCTGTGTGGCACGGAAACTTGATCCTCACGGGGAGGGCACCTGGCAGCCTCACTGGTCAGGGAGGGGAGAGTCCCGGGAGGGGACGCGTCGCTTTCCTTCTTGGGTTTCAGAGATGCAGGGCAGGCCAGGGGTGAGCCCTGAACCTCTGTCCTGGGTGGGGGTCTGTCTCAGCTCAGAACCCTCCTTTGGAATAGCACGGGCATTTTTTCAGTTTTCATTGTTGCTAGTCCACGTTTGCAGTACATGTCGGTCACATTCCCAGGGCAGGTTGGTGCATGGACCTAACACACCTCGGTTCTTTTTACTTCCCCTTCTCTGCCTCCACCCTTTCTCCATTCCCATTTGCAAAAGATCTTTCTCCCTGTTTCCTGTTATCTATCTTTGATTTTGCTCCTTGATTTATTTATACTTCAGGTTTCTCTTATAAGAAAAACCATTCAGTATTGAAGCTTGTGTGTCTGATTATTTCACTTAACCTATGGTCTCAGGTGCATCCATTTTCCTACAAATGACTCAAGCTTATTCGTCTTTATGGCAGAGTAGTCCTCTGTTGAGTATAAAGACATGGTCTTTACCCATTCATCTGTTGATGGACGTACAGGCTAGCTATTATGAGCTGTGCTGCTAGAAACATGAGTATCCATGTATCACTGCAATATGATGTCTTTAGCTCCTTTGAGACAACACCTAGAATGGGAATTGCTGAGTCACATGGAATTGCTAGTTTTACTTAGCATAGTTTTTTATTTGTTTGGTTAATTATTTTTGCCCTGGGGGGTCCTTGACTTTTCCTCCCTGCTCATAGGTGAAGTTCTGGGTAGAACTTGAATCTGATGGGCCTTGCATCCATGGCTGCCCCTGTTCTTTACAACCTCTCTCCAAGGCGTGACTCCAGAGCAAGGGGGTCAGTCTGGCTGCAGGGTCAGCTCGGAGGTGCAGGGTGATGGGGAGATTCTTGCTTCTCTCTCGCTTGCTCTGACTCTGCAGACACCAAGCAGGTTGCAGGACCATGCTCCAGAGAATGGAAGGGAAGTTGCTCAGGCCTTGGGGAGAGGGAGGCACGCACCCGAGTGCCTTTTCTGCCAGCTCTTTAGGAGCCCTCAACACCGGAACATCTGCCCAGAAGGCCACAGGTCTGCTGTTTTCTGGCTAAACTCTTAAACCTCCACCGCAGGTGTCTGGGTCCCCAGTGCCTGTGGGGTGGGGTGGCCGCTCCAGCTTGGCATGACTCCCCCGCCCTATCTTCACTGCCTGCCACTCTGGCACACTTGACATCCAGCCAGATGCTATGTGCTGTGGCCTCTCTTTTCAGGCTTCTGGTCACATGTGTTGTCCTCCATCTGCCCAGCGTGTCCTGTCCTCCTCCGCTTGTCACAATGTACCTACATTGCTTTGAATGCTCCACCTGTGTCTGTGTGTGGCCCACAGCTGGTGCCACACAGTGTCACCCACCACCATCCACCCTCCCTGGCCACACTTCCTCTGTCTGGCTTCTGCCTTGGCTCCAGGCATGGCCGCCAGCCAGTTCCTGGGCATCAGGAAAGCAGGCTCTTGGCTTTCTCTGAGTTTCCCCTCCAGATGGATGCCTCTGCACCATGCCCAGGGCTCAGGCACACCCTCAATTCTCCTTTTACCCCGGCCAGTCTGCAAGGCAGCTCTTTCTTGGAAACTGACTGCAGGCGTCTCCACCTCAGCTCCTCAGTGTCCTGCTGGGCACAGGCAGCTGGCAGAGCATGGCAATCAGCTGTACCTCCCACCACCCAGAGAGACACAAGGTCTCAGCTGTACCCTGCGCCCCTCAGATCCCCCAAGGCTGGGTACCTGGAGCCTTCCTTCCCTCCTTTCCTTCCTTCCTTCCCTCCTTCCTTCCCCTTGTAAACAAAAACTCTGTGGGAGCCAGGGCTTTGCCACCAGATGCAGGGCACAGGTGATGCCTGTAAACACCTGTGGGCAGAGGGCAGCACTGTGGCTTGTCATCATTTGCTCTGGTACACAGGGGCCCAGGCAGTGTCCTGGGTCCCTGTATACCCTAAATACTTACTAGATGCTTCTGAAGCACAGAGAATCACCTGCTTCCTCCTTTCTCATGGAAGTTTCCAAAGAGTCCTACCTGAGGACTCCACATCTGTCTTTACCGTCCAAGCTGCCATCTCTGGCTTTGTGAATTAACCTGCATTCTGAAACCTGATTATCAGATTAGCTTTTAAGTTTAAAGAGCACTTTAGGCCTCAGAAGCCTGGTAAAGTCCTTTTAAGTCTCATGAAAAAGACCCATACTTCTGAGCAAAGGCCTGGCCACACCACGGCCCTGGCTTTGGCTTGCCCCAGTCCCTTTCTCCTGTCCTTATGGCTTTGTGGGGAGCTGGGAGTTTCAGTACATCCAGGACTGTGCTTTCTGCTCAGGCTATTCTGGGTCTTTTGTGCTTCCGTATGGATTTTAGGATTGTTTTTCCTAGTTCTGTGAGGAAGAGTTTTGCTATCTTGGAGGGGGCTGCATTGAATCCATAGACAGAGTCTGGTGACATGGCCACTTAACGACCTTCCTTCTGCCGGGGTATGAACACAGGAGAGCTTCCACCTTCTGAGACCCTGTCACTTTCTTTCTCTGGTGTTCCGTCATTTTTTTAAAAAAAAATTCTTTTATCGGTACATTGTAGGTATACAACACATTTACATTTCTCATTGGG